GTTCTTGCTGGGACATCTCCTCTCATCAGGCAAAATCTGAACGATAGACTACCGGTTGAGTCCGAATCCTTTGTACTTTATCAGTTCGCCTGCATCTGTGTGCTAGGTTCATCGGACACATCACCCGAGGTCTATCAAAAAGTATAGCGGAACATTGTCATGCTTCCTTACAGTATGGAATACAAAGGAGTGTTCATAATTCTATCTGTGAGCACCTGATCAGCACTGGGCATCAATGTCGTGTTAAGGACTCATTTAGGGTTCTCCTAGTTGCCCCAAAGCAATACTCAAAGGGACTCAATATGTGATTCCTGACTATAGCTGAAGCTTTTGCTATCAGACATCTTCAGCCGGAATTATGCAAGCAGAGAGCTCTCATGCAAGAGCTAATTCTGCCCTGGCACTCACTCAGTTAACAGGTTTCAAAGCCACAGCTGTACATAATAAGATCGCAGTTTTACTGTTCCACCTATCGCCTGACACCCATTTACCTGTGCATAGCTAGCAATAGATTTTTGTAATTTTGGGTTATCTACTTCATAATTGTACACGCCTGAGAAGATTTATCGAAAAGCAATTTCTTCTTAATTGTTCTCTTAAAGTCGTGACATTTCACAAGTACGCAATCGACTATGATTGCGAAAAGGCACTAGCTTAGGGATCAACAAATGACTTCTAGCACCGAAGCATGCACACTAATGCTATTGCACCGATTGTAGGCATAACCAGTGAATGTTTGAAAGCAACTGTTCAACTCACGCCAGCAGTGTGAACGAACTGCTGTCTGTAAATGACGAGCCATCGAGTGGATGTGTCGAAACCTACCAACTGGAGCTGAGTACAGACTTTGAAGTGCATCACCGGTTCGTTTGTTGGGTTCCAGCGAACCGCACGGGGTTGAACTCATTCTCGGCAAGCTTATCAACAGGTGGCGAATTCAAATCAAATCAAGTTAAGTCAAGTCACGAATTCTCTTTTATGCACCCATGAAGGGTGAATTTTAAGCTGTAACACACGTGCGATCGAAACGGTAAAGAAAAACAATCTAACTCATGCAGAAACAGTAAAAAACGGCGGCTAAAACAATGTTTTATGTGTGGTACAGGATCGCTAACATAATTTGCTGTCGTATTTGAGGAACTAGATTTGCAGTTGGATAAAACGCTATGTGAAGGTTGGCTGATATCAATATGTTCGAAGCAAGTTTTGCGCATGAATTAAGATGAACAGATACCATGTGTTGAACTAAGGTTGGTTTAAAAATCCCATTCCATCTAGGTATGTGTTTTAGCGATCTATGAAGTGGTTTCATATGCTTACCCAATAGGCCCGGAAAGATCACAAGCGAATAGTAGGTCCAGAGTGGTAGAACACATGCAATGATGAATCGCAGGATCAACTGGTAGGAGACTGAGGACGAACGAAGACTTTGGAGAATACTTCATTCACGTGAATAAACCACAATGAAGCACGACTCAGTGTGATTCCCGGATACTTCAGTGAAGCCAAGAAGCTCAGACTTTCATCATCAATGTGAAGTTGGGGACTGTCAGCGAGGAATTTCTGGTAACCATCTCGCTTATGCAACGAAAACAGTACATCATTGCACTTGGAAGCATTCAGCGTTAAGAGGCGGGGGTTTGAGCAATACACGCTTTTATCTAAACAACATTGTAGCATGGTCGAAGAGGCTGACATTAGATGATTCGTGCCGATTAGTGCGTCATCGGCGTATTTTAGCAGTATGATTTATTTAAGGACAAGGATGGAGCCAACGTAGGTATAGAGAATAAGATTGGCAACAAAATCGCTCCCTGAAATACTCCAGAGGTGGTGGTGAGTGGTAAGGAGCTCCTGCCCCTTATCTGATTACGTTTGATAAAACAACCTTGTAACAAGAAATATATGGATGCTTGGATACCAGATGCCAGATCATGCCACAAGATTTCACGGTTAACACAACAGAAGGTGTTGGTATAATTAAGGATGCAAACACGTGTGGCTTTGTTCTTGCTGTCTAGCGACGATAGGACTGAATGCACTAGACAAGCCACTGCGTCTTATGTCGACTTCAGTGTTCGGTATGCAAATTGCTATGCGTCATTCAGACAGGATTGGGTTAACCAATTTTCAGGAATGCACTTCTCGAAGACCTTTAAATCCACCGAAGTGCACACAATAGGTCGATATTTACCTGTCGCTTTCTTCAGGATCGCTGCTATGCTTGCAGTTCGCCAACTGTGTGATCTTGCTTTGGTTTAGGCACATGGTGTACAAATCTAGTAATGGTTGGGCTATTGAGGCTGCATACTTTTTAAGGACGAAGAGAGATAACCGGTCAGGTCCGTTTGATTTGCTTGAGTTTAGTTGGGCAAGCTTCTTGTGAAGTGCTGCAACTTCAACAATTGGCGATGAGTTTATAGGCCACTGAACCTGTGCAGCTGACGAGTAGGGGAGTGGGTCATCCCAGGAGTAGCAGAAGTTGCGATTTAATTCTTATACGTCTAGATCAGAGTTCGTATTATGACTAGCGACTCCACTAAATTGTTTCGTCATCTGACAAACCTCAGGCAATTAGTATTCCCTAGGTTTGTTTGGACGCAGGCATGATAGAGATGGTGAATTTCTTCCCTGATGCGTAGAGAAAGAAACTTTACTGAGGCACGATCTTTAACTTTGCGAGCTCTCGCCTTAAGTGGACGCAGTTGCTTGAGGGCTGATGTGGAAAACCGATCAGCACGAATGACAATACTTTCCAGCGGACAGCAGAGACCAAAACAGAAGTTCAGATAACTTGTCATCCCGTCACAATGTGTTGAGACATCTGCATGGAAAAAAACTGAAATCAATAGAGGCAACCATTTCTTTCAGTTGTGTTATGTTTGGGGGATTGGTTTGTCTCCGTCTAATTTTATGTTCCTTGCAGCGAGTGACTTCCTTGTGGTTCGTCTTACTGTAAACGACAGGAGATAGCTTGACGATCAGTGGTTACAAGTGGGACCGGAGTACTGACTGTAAATATATTTACAGGTTGTTAACAAACACCAAGTCCAGGGTTACTTTTAACCTGCTGGAAGATTTCACGATGTTCTGTAGTCCAAGTGTTGTGAGGAAGGTGGTGTCAAGCCTCTTGGAATCACCAGCAAATCTGGATAGGGAATGGTCGATGTGTATGATAACAGAAGCTGTGAAGTCATCGTACAATTTGTCTGCTTCTGAGCTAGGACACCTGGGGGATATATAGACGTTGGCTAGCAATTTTGAGCTTTCCACTTAGATACTTTGGCGTGCACTTTAGAACTATGCAGTCGATACGTTGTGACGAATAGCAGGACATTTTCTTCATTGGTGAACCACAGGAAGCGTTATTAAAGGTGATAACACCACCAATCCGGTTGTGGAACGTGCATGGGCGATCAGCACGGTGGAAAATGAAACCGTCAACTGCTACACTAGCATCTTCAAGATGTTTGTGAAGCCAAGTTTCCTGTAGCATACTTGCTCCTAGCTGCGCGTATTCGTGACAGCAGATGTTGCTTTTAAGGTTTTCCATTTTTCAAAGAAGTGAGCGGACGTTGGTGCTGAGAAAAACGGGCATGCTCATATTCGACAAATTTGTCTTCCGCAGACCTACCCTCCATCCAGCACGATGGTTCTTTGCAAATTTATTACGTTTTTCGTAGATTTTTATCACTTTGCTTCGGATAAATCTGATTGTGTCTGTCACTTGCGCGGAAACGTATGGCGATTTCAAAATTTCACAAGTGTAAATAATCGCGACACTAATCGTAGATAGAGCAGTAGGTGAGTAACACAATAGGTTTGTAAATGAAGGCGCGAGTGTTGGTACTTCCTTGAAAGAGAAACACAGAGCACGGCTAAATTTGAGGGTCCCGCCTGGTTCAACTAGATATCCACCGTTTGTCTAGGAATTCACACCAATTGCCCAGACCCTAGTAGCAACTGTCCAGTCTTCGTTTCTATTATCGTCGCTTTGCATTCGGTCTGTCGCCATATTATACTTTTCTCACTCCTTACCTCAACGATCACTGCACCCCAGTGTCTTTCTGAACGTTTACGCTCAATAATTTAGTTTAATTTTACAATGATGTTAATTATCAAACTATTCATCTCGACAGACGTTCGATAGATGACCCAGACATATTTTGATTTCACCATATTCACCGCATCCATCCTACGGGACGTGTCAAGCGCTTGCTTTTATTCCGTGATAAATCATTGTTCATTGTTCTTCTAGCTTAATTTCCCGGCTCCATTGCCTGTCTACCCTACAGTACGGCCTGTGCGTACCAATCACTTCAAGTACGCCGCTCACTTTTACAATTGTGAGTGAACGTGTTGATTGACAATTAACGAGTAGCATGTTTATTCCTAGATTTGTTGACATCAAGCCTCGCCCGTGTTTGATCACCCACAGTCTGGCAGAGCTACGCTTTCCAGTTTTATTTAGTGACTGTTATCAAACATTTGGTTTAACACTGTGAACAGTTTTTCACAATATAAATTACTATTTGTTTTACTGCGTAACGTTCACCTACTCATATTGGTTACTGCTTGAACGATACGTGGATTTACTACTACCGTCTCCGCGAGTCATTTTACACCGTTTGTAGCACCGCGGTTTTAGTACACTCCAGTCTGCCCGTTGTCTTTAATGCTGCTGCCCAGATCGTGCGTTGATAGACGAAATCTGCTTGTTTTCAGAGGTCTGCAGTGGTACCAACGACCTTGACCACGCGGTTGCTGATGGTATCAGGTTGCATTGCAAGTCAGACTTGTGGACAACTTGGTTATCGATTGGCAGTGAAGATTTGCTCCTGGATTCACATCACTCGAATAATTTATTGATGGGTTGAAAATTACTCATTGACTTATACTGATACCTAATAAACAGTGTTGCCATTTACATGGTTGGCATTTAAAAGCGCGCGCTAACAAGCATTCAGGTTTACGCTTCCATTAGCAAAAGAAAATCTTTGGATTTTTATAAGAAATGCATGGAATTAAGTTATCCGTATTGTAGCAAAAATAATCAAAAGTTCGTTGATGCGTCATTGTTGGGTGCCGTATATCAAATTGCTGTCCGAATATAGCGTATAATGCATTGATTGTGTCCGACTAGAGGGAAATTTGCAAAATGGGATGTGGGGGTTGTAAAGCACGGGGGTGCGTAGGCACGAAGCATTTTTATACATGGGCTATCGCAAAGAAACAGGGAGGGGTTAATGAAAGAGCAATAGCTTTTTGGTTGTCGATGCAGCAGTGGTAGCTGCGGGTGCGCAGTAAAGTGTTCACCGAGCAGCGCTTGATCCAGCGTTCTGCGTGTAACTGGGGCCACCTGGCCGAGCAGTAGTGTGGGCTAACACGGTTGGTACTGAAAGCAGTTGCTTTTGTCGGCTAGATACTTTCGACCTTTCCTTGGGAGGTTCTTCTCCGATTCGTTGAGCAAATAGTCGCATCTTCTCCTTGAACGGAAGGAGTTCGGCATTTGGGACTGGGTTGGGGGAGGTCTGTGGTATTGGAGGGGAAATTAATAGAATTGGGCAGTACACGACTGATAAGTCCCATCATACGCCAAAATGGAACATCGGCACGAGTTCTCAAGTCAAGCTGCTATGCAGCAATCAGCAGCGCTATACACGCAACGAAAACTATTAAAAGTGTTAGGTGACGGTGATTGAACAACATGTGCTGCACAGCTCTGCATATACAACCAATTAGTATCGCGACTAAATGAAATATCGAAGCTGATTGGTGAAGAATCCAAAGGTTGGCCAAATGGCCAACCCTCCTATCAATGCATCACTAGTTTTACTGCTGATATGGACGCAGAAATAATGTGCCTTCAGTGCCTGATACCAATGGAGTTCTTTGGTATCATTAGGTCACAAACTCCAAGTGGTTTCATTCCGCATCTTCTGACTACTCACCCATTATCGATGAATGCTGCAGCAAATGGTTTCCTGCCCTCTCACAGTCACTGGCTCTAACGTACAATAGGATTCCGAGTGAGGCACGTGTGCAGCCCAAACGTCACTTGTTTCGCAATCATATCTCGTAATAGATACCTTCTCAGAGATCCACGCGTGCGGTTAGCGTCTGAGTAGTTCTGAACAACCTACCAATGCGGTCATCCCTTTGTAATAGTGACGGATTTTCTGGATTACTTACGAAACTCTAATCTTAACTTTAGGGATTGCAAGAGCTTCTCCTGGAAAATCTGAGTACAAGAATATAACAAAGTAAGTAAGGAGAGTTGAAGGGTATCAAATTTTTCGTCTCGACGACCACAGGCATTACCATACAGAAAAGCGCCGAACGGTTGTCCCCTTCCTATTTGCACGCAGCAGCGAATCCCGTCTGATTTCGGGCCAATGACTGCGCTACCTTCAGTCAACGACACATGGCGGCAAGACGTGGGTGACTGTATCCGCTGCAGTGACTACGTTACGAATTGTGATACGGCGCGCCTCATTTCCCACTGCCACTCGCGTCATCATGCCGCTACCCGAACGGTTTATCGCGCCTTAGTAATAGCTGCTCGCTCAGTGAATGAATTTTCGCTTCTGGGGAGCATTCCTTTTCTCTGTACAATATTAACTAGCGGAGTAGAGGCAAAAAATACAGACGGATAGTAAGTGACCAAACTGAGCATACAAATCTGCAAGGCGCTATGACACTAAGTCGTGTCGGCAACTAGAACGGGCGCCACACCAGACTCGCGAAGGACCGACCAAGTATGGAATCTAGGGGAAAAAGTGGTGGCTGTTGAATTTAGGTGAGCATCGATCATATTATGTGGTTTGTACCATGGCGCGCGTACAGCCCACCACCACCACCATCCTCCTCTTCCTCTTCCTCCTCTTCCTCCTCATCATCAACAGCAGTACATCAGCCATTTGAACTGATGCTTCGCTGCCACACAACCATGAGAACCTATAAAATAAAGAATAAGAAGAGGGAGAGAAGGGGGACTTACCTGAAAACCTTAATGTCCTAAGCAAACATTCAGGGTCAAGGCGCCTACATCTTGTGTAGACAACATACCGTCACAAACGGCTGGCTATCTTGCAAAGATAATGCGGCATCGGCGAGACAGCTTCCTTGCGGCTTTCACTGCCACGCGTCATAATCAGCCATTACCCCGCAGATAACTCAGCACAAAACACACTTTAAACAGGCAATCCGATTAGGAGGCAGCAGCAGACGCGCCACTGGTATCGGTTGCGAGCCATGTGCTGTAAAGTCTCGAGCGAAGCACAATGTGAGTCACGTGGACTCCAGCCCGGATGGCGAGACGGACCAACGGCAGCCAGTTTGGTAGTCAGTGACTTCATTTCCCGCTGCCAAGTCAACTTCTGTCCACCTCGAGCGTTGCGCCACCATACACCTTGTAGACTGAACAAGGCCCTCCTAGATAAGCGATGACCATGCATACGTAGCACGTGCCCGAGCCAACGCAACTTATTCAGTGCTACCTGTTGTTCTAAGGAGCTAGTATGATTATCACCACCTAGTACTCGCCTACGCACATCATCGTTGCGGACACGCTGGTGTCATCCGACACCAGCAATGCTTCGCAGACAACGATGATCAAAGACTTGAAGCCGGCCACATATGGAACACAGGCGCCATGTGACTGGCTGGCAAACTCGAGTGAAGTTCGACTGCTTGAGTATCGAGGGCTGTGCCTTGACGCGAACAAAGTCATGTACGACAAACCAGTCAAGCAGAATGCGTTCACATTGGTTGAGGCCAGGACGCCGACGATATGGGGATCATAGTTGACCAATAAATAGAATCTTCATTTTTCATAGAATACACACCCGTCTATCGAGCCTTGACCTTTGCTTTTCGAAGTTGTTTGGTCGTCAAACACAGTGGACACTAGGCTGCATTACTGCAGGCGCATCATTACAACAGTTGCATAACAGTCTGCAACTTGGTCCCCTAGGACAAACATGTTGCACTGGCGGCGCACCAGTCGCATGCAAGCAGCAATTTTTACTCGCACAAAGGATACCATAAGGATTATACTTATTGTGATGCGATTATGTAATCACAAGAACGATACAGATTTACATGACGAAGCAGGCGGCTGGCTTGCCGCAAGCGAACAGAGCAGTTGATTGGACGCCTACGCTTATTTCGACTACGCGCTGGTTTGTTCTTATTTGGCTACACTGCAGCGGGTTCCCTGAACTGATTCAAAGAAAGAATCACAAGAATCTAGAAGCGTCGTTAGTTGTGGAAGCGACCTAGTTACTTGCATCGAATTTTTCACACTCTTGTTATGCAATCATTTTTGCGGAGCTCGCTTTGTTGAATAAACTGTTTGTCCCGTCATAGCCAAGTTCCCGTGCGGTCGCACTTTAACTCTGCTCTCGCTTTGCTCTCTGTGGCCACTCTGATTCCTCCCACACAATATTGTGCATGCGCTCGTCCGAAGCAGTTCGACGAGCTCTACACAGTGGTTCCCAACTCTTGGATCTAACCTGTGTGGATTATACTCTTGCTCCAGTTCCCAGTTTTTGGTATATTCTTCGCCGAATTCCACTTGTGTAACTATGTCAAACCGGTTTTCGGAAAGGATTTCGGTCATATTCGAAAGAAGCTGAGGGCCCCCAAACTACGTAGCAACCATGCCTGCGAGTTGCCGCATAACAAAGTTACAGACATTTCGCTCTTCTCAGCAACTGAACAGATCTAAGGACGCTTATCAGCGCTCCACACGCATTGTCGCTTGAGGCAGGCCGATTAACACACGCTGCCGCTTTTTGTAGGTGCGTGTGTTCAACTGCGAGTCGATTGATCACTGAACCCGTCCGGCTGCGCGTTACGACCTCCATCTGCTCCTAGCGCCTGACCTAGTTGCGGTTGAACAACTCTCAGTTCGCGTGCGCATTCGGACCAAATGTTGCGTCACCCCTTGCGCAAAGAACACTCCTCAAAGTGAGCGCTTAGATAGGCCTTGTTGTAAACAATAGGAGGACGACTAGCAATCCAATGATTCCATGTCATCTATGTTGCGCAGACAATTGCAGTAAAGTCCTCAAGATCAGTGTTACCTGTTCTAGCTGCATTAGATCGTACTGTCCGCAATGTTTAGGCAAATCTGTCCAAGAAGCGAGACAGACAAACCAAGTTGCCGACACACTTTGGTATTGCCCAACATGTCAAGTCATTCCAATCGTCAACTGTTTATCTTTACTCATGAAAAAGTGCGTTAGGATGACTGAGATAATCGCGCATTTTGTAAATACTAAGATCAATCCCACGGAGGTAAATATGGCCAAGCTAATACCCCAACCAGCCAAAGTAAGCTCTGAATCTAAGCCTGATAAGAGAGCTAGACGCTCCAACCGCACTGCAGCGTCTGTGACTCTAAATCCACTGGGTCACCTCAATCCCATAAGTGGACAAGCCTCAAGCATGCCTGCTTCCACTTCTCCAACCATAGACGCTTCACTTGGAGATTCAGCCATGACACCGACAGCTCAGAGCCGAAGGCAATCCGGTGCAGATAAAGAGCGGGTAACGTACGCATCAATTTTCTCGACAAACACACCGGGAGCGACACACACAGGTCCATCTTCAGTACCGAGCACGCGTGGCTCAAAGCAGCTTGCACCGTCTCCAGTGGTGCCTTCTAAACAGCCAAATTGCCGGCAAGAAATATAAAGCCAACACTTGCTAGACAAAACCACGCTGCGTTAACTCTCGTGTGCACCAGTGTTGCCGAATCCAAATCTGGCACAACAGAGATCAAGTTGCAAGATGATTGCAACCAGTGAAATTCCATCTGCGAGGCGATTGGTATTCGGGTTGAGCCTGGTATGGTGTAACGAGTATCGCGTTACCCGACCTCAGTGCACTCTGGCGAACCTCGAATTCTTCGAGTGACACTTGTCTTAGTAAATGAGACCAAGGCCCTCCTGCTCTCAGCACTTCGTCTTCGCAACTCACCGAGCAGACTGCGCATATTACCCGATCTACCTTGGTAAGATCGCCCAAAGAAAGCAGGTGACCAATGCGGCATTCCTAATAGTGATAGCAAGAAAATAATATTTGTTCATGATGTTTCCGAGCTTCTACATTCTTCCGATCACGATGCGCAAACACATGACTGAGAGCAGTGGTGCCACCTCCGCGAAGCACTCTCAGTTGACAATGTTATTACCAACTCCCTGACAATAATTCCGTCATTAATTAACTAAAAAGGCTGCGCGCTAAGTTGCCAATAGAGGTCCGGCGAAATGCAGCAGGCGAACGGCCAAAGTCGGAAGCAATTCGATAGAACTTGCAAACACTACAAATGCATTATCTACACAGTCCTGCGGAGAGACCGACACAACAGCACCCACGGCACACAACAGGACAGAGCACAGCACAAGTGAAACGTCTGTTCAGGAACGCTCAACAATGACATGCAACTTCACTGAAATTCATAAAGTAAAAAACGATAAATGGCCGGCCACCTAACGGTCGGCTTAAAAACCAACAAAAAGTT